GATTTCAAAAATGAGTATATATATGAATGAATGAATTCATTCCCTGACAACAATTATAAATTGATGTCAGCATTAGAAATATAATATTCCCAAAGGTTGAGCAAAAATTGTCTAATTGTATTTATCTAATAAACTAGAAAAGTAAAAATAAGGATGACATCACTACACAGGGACATTTTACAGTATTTCTCTCACCCATCCTCCCTCTAAAAACCTTTGTAACTAGTTGATTTACCAGTACTACCCACTTGTGGTAAAACAATTTTTGTCACCAACACATCACTCACACTTCTCTACCATCAAGATAATACATGTGGTCCCCAAAATGTTCCACCAGGAGGTGTTTTGGGGGCAGTTAACTAAGAGGGGGCTTCCAGACAGGTGGAGGAGTTGATATACATGAGGTCACAGATCTACTCCCTCTCCCCCTTCAAAAGAAACTAGTCGGCTCCATTCGTCTCAGAATCTAGAGGAAGTTGACGAAGGTGCCACAGCAGCACAGCACAGTATGTGGTGGGGAGTTTTCAGCTTGCTGGCTTGGTTCCCCTTACAAGGTAAGGACTTAGAGTCATTATTTTTGTTGTTGCTCAGCTGACCTAATGTTTTGCCAATCTACCTATCAGCCAGTCAACTGCATTTACAGAGGAGCTGCTATAGAAGACAACCCAGGTAACTGCTCATACTTTCCAAGCCATGCTCAAATCATGCATCTGAGGGATGTTACTGCATTTATTTGATCTCTTGTTCAATGGCTAAAGAGTATAGAAAGGATCACTATAGTGTGTGTCTCTGTGGGTCCTCTGTTATGGCAAGATGTAACAAGCTTATTAGGTTCTGTCTTTCAAGGGTATACCAGTTGAGAGAGCATCCACGTTGAATTTTAAAATTTCCTTGCTGTATAAATCTTAACCAAATGACTTAATCTCTTTGAAACTCAGTTTCTGCATCTTAAAATAAAAATGATAAAAACGTTCGATCCACCAAACTCCCTGGATTGTTAGAAGGATCAAATTTCAAACGTGAAAGCACTTTGAAAATGATACAGTGCTGTACAACACTTACCTAGCTCAGAGGTAATAATGAGAGCAATGAAAACTTCATGTTTATTTTTAAAGAGTAAGTTATATTTTACATTTTACTGTAATTTTCAAATTTGGGTTTTAGTGCTTAATCCTAATGTAGCATTATGAAAATTAAGGATAGAAACAGTTACTTTTTTGAAGCTGGTCAAATTATTTTCTACCCCAAAGAGTGGGGGCAGGGGTGTAGGAAGGGACTCCTGTTGTCCTTCAGTCTCTGCAGTTGTATCAGATTCATGCAAAGGACATCACTCATAAATCCACTCAAAAACGTTGCTTTTTGTGTGTTTGTTTCCAAATACTGAATCTGTAGTTCTGTTTCATGAAATGCACCTATCCTTCCAAATCAACATTTAATCTAGAATGGCATCTGAAGGACGCTACTTTAAAAAACTCGATTTCCTATTTTACATGGTACTTCAATTCCCTATTTCATATACTTCAATTAATGCCTTCTTTTTTTGGTCCCTGTACCCTGAGGCACTTAATAAGGATTCAATTTTGGTAATGAATAATATTATTTTCTTCAATAAGTGGCTTAAAGAATAGCTAATACATTCAGAAAGAGTACATTTAGATAGCTAAAATTAGGAAGATTTCAATTTTTCTAGAGTTTATAGCCTTTAAGTGACCTTAACTTTTTTAGGCTTTGAGTTATTGCCTCATAAAAAAAAACTCATAAAAATACATTTTTTAAAAAATAGCAAAACTTATGTTTCAAGGTAAGCCTTAATTACTTAAATATTATTTATATAGAGAGGAAAAATATTTATTGTTTCACACACAGTGTTGAGTATTCTATGTTAATTACACTTAATCATAGCGGAAGTACTGAAGTAGGTACTAATATCCCCAATTTAAAGATGAGAAAAGAAGTTAATGTAACCTGCCCAAGTTTTCAAGCTAGAATATGACAACATAAATATCAGCCTATAAAGCACACAGTAAAAGTATTTATTTCATGAAACTTTTCATTAGTGTGTGTGTGTGTAAGTGTGTGTGTGTGTGTGTGTGTGTGTGTGTGTGTGTATATGTGTGTGTGTGTGTGTGTACTAGGTTGTGACAGAAAATGTGTTTATTAATGTGGATCAAAAGTTGGAAAACCACTGACTTTCACAATTTGGAGGATTCAATATTAAAAAGTCCTCATTTGAAAACTCGTTCAACGGCCACCCGAGGGCATCTAAGCTCAATGGCATTTGAGCAGTGGCTGCCACTCTCATTTAACCTTGCTCAAGCCCATCCCAGATGTAATTAGGAGAGGAGTTGACCATGTTGCTTTCTTGTCAGCAAAAAAGGCAGCAAATCATCAGTTTTGGCAAATCTATAAACTGTCAGCTGATTTTAGCAAATTAAATTATGGGAAGATCACTGTGACTGCTTCTACAGTGTAACTTCTATGGCTGCCAAAAATTTATGGAAAAAAAAGTCACATAGTTTGAGAGCCTGCCCTCTTTTCAAGGCTACTCCCAGTATAAATAGTCTTAGGATTGGTAAAAACACCATAAAAATGAAGCCTTTTTCAAAATTCATCCCATTAACTTACATTGTAGACAATGAAAATGTCAAATCCAAAGAATTTTGAACCCTCTATTTTCATTGTTTTGCGGAGGGTAGGATGCAGAAAACAAAGGAAAATTGCAAATTGAGTAGTTCTTTTCGTATTTTCTTTGCCCAGGAAAAAGTCGCATGTTAGATGACATGTTGAGACAGCTTCTTTAAAATGTACTAAAAATAATTTGATTCTGACAAGTCTGATTTATTTTTATACCTGCAATTTTCTCTATTGATTCAATCTAAAAATAATAAAAATCTTTTTTTGTGGTGATCTGAATTAAAACACATTTTTGCTTAATACCTCATGGCAGTCATGTAGCTAGGACTCTGATGTGAGAATTAATGTATTGCATGTCTCTAGCTTTAACTTAGCCCTAGTCTTTATTATTTGATATAACAGTTAAAGAGCAAAGTTAGCATCTTATTAAAATATTTATTCCTAATACATACATTTACTCTTTTTTTTTTTTTTTTTTTTTTGAGATAGAGTCTGAGTCTTGCTCTGTCACCCAGGCTGGAGTGCAGTGGTGCGATTTCGGCTCACTGCAAGCTCCGCCTCCTGGGTTCACACCATTCTCCTGCCTCAGTCTCCCGAGTAGCTGGGACTACACTCACCCACCACCACTCCCGGCTAATTTTTTGTATTTTTAGTAGAGACAGGGTTTCACCATGTTAGCCAGGATAGTCTCGATCTCCTGATCTCATGATCTGCCTGCCTCAGCCTCCCAAAGTGCTGAGATTACACGTATGAGCCACCGAGCCCGGCCTATTTACTCATTTTTATCCACTAATTCAACCAATATCTAAAATTTTACATTATGCTAAAATGAATGAATGGTAAACATCTTTTCCATGGGGAGTTTGTAATCTATCTACAGAGAAATACCTGTAACCAAATAATTATAAAGTAATGTGCTAAGTGCTATAATAGAAGTATATCTCAAGCCTTTACGAAACTAGGGGAAAGACATTATGGGGAAAAGGGAGGCTAAGGCCTGTTTTGGAAATTTTGACAAACGTTGTGTAATTTGAGTTGAGTCTTTAAGTTGAGTCTTGAGTTGGGTCTTAACGTTGAGTCTTGAAGGAGATGAGAAAGGCATTTCAGGCCAAGAGAATACCATAGACAAAGACAAACTATCTTCTGGAGCCTGGAACCTTCTGGAAACAGCAAGTGGCCATATACAAGGACTATCTGAAAAGGAGTATCAGGACATGACAAAGGAGGAGAACACAGGAGTCAAGTCGGCTGGAATTTGGGCCTGATTCCTATAGGCAATGGAAGCCATAGCAAATGTTTGAATGAAGGAAGAGACATAATCAAATTCATGGGTTATACGTTTGTTTGTTTGTTGAGATGGAGTTTCATTCTTGTTGCCCTGGCTGGAGTGCAATGGTGCAATCTCGGCTCCCACAACCTCCACCTCCCAGGTTCAAGCAATTCACCTGCCTCAGCCTCCCAAGTAGCTGGGATTACAGGTGCCTGCCACCCTGCCTGGCTAATTTTTTGTATTTTTAGTAGAGACGGGGTTTCACTATGTTGGCCAGGCTAGTCTTGAACTCCTGACCTCAGGTGATCCACCAGCCTCAACCTCCCAAAGTTCTGGGATTACAGGCGTGAGCCACTGTGCCCGACCTCAAATTCATGTTTTTAAAATGTAGTCCTAGAATCAGATGATGATGATGAATTACAGAGAAGAGAGACTAGAACAAAGTTATTACAATGGTCCAGGAAAGAAATGATGGAGTCCTTAAGTAAGGCAACAATAATAGTGACAAAAGAGGAATAAATTGATTAAAGAGATGTTTTGGAGAAAGAAGAGTTTGGAGCACCCCTCAAATATCCGGTGTGCAGTGGTTGGTGATGACATTAATTTATATAAGCGAACTCTAGAATGGGGCAGGTGGTATATCTGTGTTAGACATGGGTGGAGCATGAGGACAGTAGAGATAATATATCTGTGTTAGACATGGGTATAGCATAGGGACATGTAGAGTTTGGAGTCTTTGCAGGACAAACTTGCTCTGCTCTGGTTTTAAATTTACGGCATGTAAAAACTAGGTTATTAAGGCAAGAAAAGGAAAGAATATTTTATTCTTTTCTCAGTCTACATGATAACCTATAGTAGAGGTAAAGATTACACATGTGAACTTCCAAAATCTTGGGAAAGACCGAAAAATCTTAAGAACTGCACTGGTTTTATCTATGTGTACTTTGGTAGGTGGCTGTTACTGCTGCTTGTCCTTTTGTTTGGGAGTAGATCACATGTGCTTGGGTGTAAAGTCATCCACTGATAGGACAATTAGTTCATGGGATTTGGGGTGGTGATGATGGTGAAGGTCACAGGTTCCATTTCCATATATAAACCAGTCACAATCTATAGCCCCAGGATCGGCTAGCAATCTCATAACACATGGCCATGCATGGATGGATGAATTCAGTCACGGAGATAATGACAAAGCCCAGAAGTCAATAATCCATTCCGTAAACATGACCTACCAGTAGGAAGTGGTGACCTCACAGGAGAAACACCACAGTCATTCATTGTCAAGCTCTGTATGCTCAGCATGTGGGAAGCCATGCAGGGCTAATTTGCAGATAAGAACTCTGAAGCTCAGATAGGACTAGGAAGTCGGTGTACGACACTCGGGGTCTAATAAAGTTTAAAGGTGAATGGGGATGTACATGTCTCTAGAGCCTACAGAGGAGGAAGTGGTAAGTAAGGAAGATATCTCACACCCTATCCCTCTGACAACAAAGGTGAAAGTCTGACTCCAAACTTAGGTGAAAGAAAAGTCCAAAGAAGTTCCAATTTAGTTTCCAATGGCAATGAGGAGACCATGGGGAACTTGTCCTTGGAAAATGTGCCACCAAAACTTAGGCACAGCATCCTGCTCATCCTCCTTTAACAAAACTACAA